CAAATAATCTCCATGATATTTTGCATGGAATATGTTGTGTAATTTTCCTATGTATAATTTGCTTAGAAAAATACATAAAATATTTGTATAAATCTAATACTAGTATTATAAGTAAATATTATACATATAATCATTGTATAAAATAACATATGCTTAATATATTAAAAAAAATATGAATAAATTGCATATAGACCATTATATGTGATTTATATGATGATTATACATATAATACTCAACATTAGTTTTCCTGATGATTTCTTGAGGTGAGTTTTGTATGACATCTATTTTCTGTAAGATGAATTGCTTATATATTAAACTATATATTAAATTAAGTATATAAAATTTTCTAGTTGCTCTATAGCCAACTTCCAAATTACTTCACTTTTTACTGAATTGCTTTGACAGTTTATAAAATAAAAGGTGAGAAATCAGAATACAGTCAAAACTCAATAAACCGAACTACCATAAACCAATTTTGCTTTATAACGATGCAAAATTGGCTAACTAAATCATATTTAATAAAAATTATTTTGTTAAGCTGAATTTTATTATAATTTCTACTTTACTTGATAAACTGAACTTAATGGTTTGTACAAGATAATAAAAATATAGCTTTCTAAGCTGAATATGATCATAAAAATTCATCTTATGATGATAAAATTCAGTTTAAAAATGGTCGATCACCCAACAATCAAGTTTAGTCAAGTTTAGTCAAAATGATTATTACTAAATTAGGCTTTTAACCCTTTATGCTGCCAGCCCTGTTTGTATCGTAAATCGAATTTTGATAGCTGATCCTATTTTTGTGATTCCCAAAAGTTCAGCTTATCAAGGTTTGACTGTATATTGTTGTTATTGTCACAAATTGAGCTAAAGTCAGAAGATGTGTCAGTTTGTATATGAAACATATGTAGTGTAATTAATGCCATCATTTCATAAAATTGAATATCCACTACCTAAGAGTGTATATATATATTCTCACATCAACTTGGAATTAATTTGATTCCATTTGAAACTAAATTTCCTTACTTCCAATACAGCATGTAAATTTATATTGTGTAATGATCTTCACAAAATTTAGCCAATGAAATCAAACTTTCAACATATTTAAGATTTTCTGATTCATAGATGGATCATCAAAAAATCTTTTTCATCTTTTCAAAATTAATTATTTAATAAAAAAAAAGAAAATCAAAAACAATGCAGAAAATTTCCTTGTAAGTATGAGTAAGGGAAAGATTCAAAACTTGGAATAATTATTTTAAAGAGATTTTCTAGTTTATCTAATAACTTGAATTCTATTATTTTCTACCTTTTTTATTCAATGCTAAAAGGTAATAAGTAAATTGTACTCTCATCTAATGGGTAGAATTGATTGTTGATGATCTCCAACCCAGATGGTAAAAAGATGTTTTTGGAAGATTTTTCATATTGCATTAAGGTTGCTTGCCAAAACTCCTCCAGAAATCAATCAGCAGGGTTTTGGCAGGTTACACATTAATTGTTTATTAGAGTTTCAGCAGAGTTTTGCATTTTGAGGTTTCACCATTTCGGCATAGTTTAACAAGATTTTTGATAAAATTTAATATAGTTTTGCCATGGTTTCAGCAATTACTAAGGAGGTTTTGCCCACAACCTTATCTTGCATACAGTTACAAAGGAAAAATAATAATAATAATTTTTTTTAAAGAAAAGTTTGTGGTTAAATCTATTTTTAAATTCAAATTTAATATTTAAAGCTTGTAGACATTAAATATTTTAAAAATTAAAAAATGAAAATGAATAATATGATTAACATTTTTATAATTCAACAACTCTGACACCACTACCTCCACCAACTCCCTGTGTCCCACAACCTCATCCCCCTACATCCTGCGAATTAATCAATATCAATATAACTAACATACAACAGATTGAACAGCATCAGCAACAACAACAACAGCAATTACAACAACAACAACAACAACAACAACAACAACAACAACAACAACAACAACAACAAAATTATATCATGAGGGTACCATTGGCACAAATATATCTAGCATTAATCATATTTATAATTTCTATGTTTATTTATCATAGATAATTAATAAACACATATATTTAATATATTTTTATTATCAAGAATGTTAAACCTACACAATCCATAAAGGATTTTTGTAAAGATTTATAAACACCCATGTATTTGCACATGTATATATTTACATTTTCATCAAAATATATATTGAATTTTGTTATTTACTAAAAATAAAAATAAGTATGATTTGGGACATTAAACCCACAGAACCCATAATATATGTTGATTTTTTTTGAGCACCAAATTCAATATAGTATTATCATAACATCATGAATACTTTACTAACAAAAACCCATTGGTTTTTAGGTTGAGCCATTGGGATTAAGGTTTCTGGCCGAAACTGCTTCTATTATAGCCGAAATTGCCCAAATACTTTGGGCAAAAATTATTTTTTTATAAGCCCAAACTACTTTTTGTTATTAGCCAAAATCGGGCAAAATTATCTTAAAGTTGTTTAAGTTAAAACAAGTTGATTCATATAGTTTTTTAATGTTCACGTTTATAAAAAATGTTGAGAAGCCCAAATTGCCCAAACTAGTTTGGGCTTTGAGAAAACAGTTTGGACCAGAAACCTCAATTGGGATTGATGAGCTGTTGAATAGTAAAATATTTTTTTTGGTGGAGCAAAAAAAAGTTTTTTAAGGGTTAATTATCATTCTACTGGCCAGTTTACACATTAAAAATACTCATGTTTAACATTGAAACACAATAAGATATTAATATAAGGTTTGAAAAATGGGTCTAAAAAACCAAATCAGCTGATATAAAAGGATTTTTCCAAAAGATTTATAAACCCCATATCTTTGCATATGTATATATTTACATTTTTATCAAAATATACATTGAATTTTATTATTTACTAAAAATAAGGACATTAAACCCACACAACCCATAAAAGGTTTTGTTGGCAAAAATATAGAACACTTGTGGATCATCAAAAATAATTGAATAAAGTGACATGTGGCCAAAAATTTAGAATGGCCACTAAACCATTCTGTATTATAAGTTCTTCTTACACTGGTTTATTTAGAAAAAAGAGGTACCACTGATGTCAAACACTCAACAATTTATAGTACAAATAATAATAATAAAAGCAACAATGGTTCCTATAGAGTTCGATTTTATTTACTTTAATTTTTACATTTCTTTAGTCAGCTGATTAAATGTTGGCTGAATGTTTACAACTATTATTTTAACACAATACAATATGTGATAATGATAACTGTTGGCTCTTTGCAGATGTGGTCAATCGGTAATAACTGTTAATGCTCAATAATTTTGCCAATCAGTCTTGACACCTTATGTTTGTACTTAAACAATTAGACCTATACATTTACAAAAAGTTAAGCAAAAACAAAAATCAAACTTTGCATTCTTTACTAAAGCAAATAACCAAAAGCTTTGTTTTATACCAAAGCAAATAAATGAACTAAAATCACAAAACTTCATAGTCTATATCACTCTGTTTAACTCTACTGTTTAATTTCCACCACAAAAGTGTTTATTATTAAATCATGTGAATGTTTATTACAAAACAAATTATTTGTAAAAGAAATAATTTTATATATATCAACTTTCTGTCACTACCTTTATGAACAAGGCCTGAGATATTAACACAAAATTATTTAATCAGTTGGTTCATTCATTCACTTGGTCAAGAAGTAACCTTATTTATAACAATTTTTCATGTTAATCCTTCTAAAAAATTAATAATTAACAAACTGATAAAACAAATGAATTTATCAACATGTATTTCTAACATGTGATCTATCTTCTTCTGTCCTCCCAACATATAATACTAAACTTTTTTTTTTTTAATTTTACATTTGCAGAATTACAAAATTTACATATTACAGAATTACAGGATTATGGATAGATTGACAAATACTCAAAAAGTTGACATATTGCAAATGGCCAATTACAAATGGCCTCAGCTATTAAAGATACAATTGATGAATCCTGAGGTTTTTCATTGCTGTTTACACATTATCTCTAAATATAAAAAGATTTATGGTGATCATTGGGTAAAACACCAACGTTTAGTGCCTATGCCCAAAGAATATGAAGAGGTAGAAGAAGACTTACAAGCTAACAAAGAAGAGTAGTTATCACCAGCAAAAAATTCCTATCTAATGATGATATTAACCAAGTGGGTGAAGAATTTCGAATACAATTTGGAGAAGCTCTCCAAGAATGTAGCAAGAAAAAACTTTAAACCAAAAAAGGTTTCAAATTTATATTTCCTTCGACAAAATAATTGGTATTGAACAAGAAAGCTTCCAGAGTTTCAAATTCACATTACAACAAGATTCCAAGATGAGGGAGGGTGCATGTGTTAATATTCCTGATGCCAGGAAAAAATGAACCGAGATTCCAAAAAGTTTGCTAAGAAAGATAAAAAAAAAGAAAGTGTGAAAGCAACCACAGACTTACTTAATTCGACATTTGAATCATATTTGTCTCACGAGTTAAATTCGGAGTTTCTTATTAACGATTTATTTACAAATAAAGAAATATTAATATTACGTAGTTGTTATGATTAAATATAATTAAAAATTTTGGTTTAGATATTTAAAATTCAAATTCATTCACATAAGTAAAATCATGTATTTTACTTTATAATTTTGTGAAACATCAAGAAGTATTTAAACATCTTGAATTCACTAAAGTTACAAATACAACTATAAAATAAATGACTTTCAGATGGATAACTTTTCAAACATATTACTTCGTATTAATTAATTAATAATAAAAAATAAAATAAACACATTTTAAATTATTATCTCTTATTTACGAATGGTTGCATAGTCAAAGAGGCAAGGCCATTGTGACCGTTTCGAACCTTTAATGATTAGTTAGGTACCCACCCCTTTTAATTAATAGATTGCTTATACGTCTCAAGTAGTATAGTAATAAATATTTCTTGTATATGTATTTTTTTATTTTTTTTTTATTATTTTTTTTGCGAGTATTCCCGACTTGGTAAGGGAAAGAAGCGCTATCAGGGTAGAGATAAGGATTATTGGTATTTATATATTTTATTGATTTTATTGATTTTACTGATTTTATTGGACAACCTCGGTAGCACGCTAGCAGTAGATAATGAACCACGAGATGGTTAAATAAAGAAAAAAAACAAAAACAGTATTGCTTACATAATTAAATGTGACTGATCTTCTGCCAAGACTTGTAACAATCATATCAAGGTTTAAAGCTTGGCGTTTATTAATATTGCACAAAAAAATTAATTTCTAAATTAATATTGTTTATAATATAGATTCTGATAAGAAAATAAAAAAAAATAATCGTATAGCACCTCCTACTTTAAAACAATTGAAAAAACTGTTACACAGTTGTAAAAAAGGTGCTATCTTTCCAGACTTTATGGTAGTCAAAAATCTCAAATTCTTTTTTCTTGTAAATATTACAAATAGAACAATTAAAAGAGAATGCCATTTTTCCAAGATAAAAGTTTATTTGCGTGTGCATATATAAATTTACGTTGTATTGAGGTCGAAAAATTCTTCAATTCCTCAATTATAATTAACAATTAATAATAATAATAAACGATAATAATTCGATAAACAATTATAATAATATGTCAACGTCACCATCACCATCAGAAATATCACAAATAATATATGAAACAGAATGGTATCTACCTATGAAGATAAATATTGTATGGGTGTTATTGTCTACAGTATTAGTATGGTTGATGATACCAGGTCTTGGGTTTTTTTATAGTGGTCTGGCAAGAAAAAAAAATGCTCTATCACTTGTATTTATGAGTTTTTTGGCGGTCCCTATTGTTTCACTTCAGGTGATAATTACTATTAGTAGATTATCATGAATTTCAATTTTTCGCGTAATTTTTAATTCTCTTTTAAATATGTAGTGGTTCATAATAGGGTATAGTTTAACTTATAGTCAAACAGGTGGCCCATTTATTGGTAATTTTGATTTTGTATTTTTAAGAGGTGTTGTTACCGAACCTTATGAAACTAGAACAGTTCCTCCGTTGGTCCATTCCATATTTCAATGTATGTTTGCGATTTTTCCAACAGCTTTGATAATAGGCGGATCAGCAGAAAGAGCTAGGATCATGCCGACATTAATATTCTTTGTGATATGGACAACTTTGGTTTATGATTTTATTGCATATTGGTGTTGGTCGGCGAATGGGTGGATTGCACAATTAAAGGGACTGGATTTTGCTGGTGGGGCACCAATACATATTTCATCAGGTGCTTCTGCTCTAGCTTATTCATTAATATTAGGCCGAAGACGTGATCTTGGTGCCGGGAATTTTAGACCTCATAATATCATGAATGTCGTTCTAGGCACTACACTGCTTTGGTTTGGTTGGTTTGGTTTTAATGGTGGAAGTGTATTATCAATTAATTTGAGAACAGCTTCAGTATGTACTGTGACAAATCTAGCAGCATCAATGGGTGGTTTAACATGGATGTTGTTAGATTACAGATTAGATCATAAATTGTCTGTAGTTGGATTTTGTTCAGGTGTATTGGCAGGATTGGTGTGTATTACACCTGCCGCTGGGTTTATTAGCATACCATCATCGTTGATTTTTGGGTTTTTACCAGGAATAATTTGTAACTTTGCTATTAAATTGAAAGCTGTATTTAACTATGATGACTCTTTGGATGTTTTTGCAATACATGGTATAGGTGGTATTTTAGGTAGCTTATTGACCGGTATATTTGCACAAAAAGATATTGCTTTTTTAGACGGTTTCACTGTAATAAATGGTGGTTGGTTAGATGGTAACTTCATACAATTGTTATATCAGTTATACGTTGTACTGTCAACATCTGTTTATAGTTTTGTGATGACCTGTTTAATATTATTAATTATGGATAAAATTCCTGGATTGGCTTTGAGAATTGGTCAAGAAGAAGAAACCTTGGGAGTTGATTTATCCGAATTAAGTGAATCAGTCGATATTCTAATATAGACCAAAGAGTTATTAAATCTAGAAGAAAAGATTTTAGATTATTATTTGCATAAATAAAATAAAACCATTTTCTACGCAATGAAAAAAAATGTAATCCCAATAATTTGTAGCATTTATACAACAAACAATAACAAAAATAATTGTAGTAATGATTTATCATAAATGATGATATTTAAAAAAATAAAAATGACTTTCCTCAATTATTCACAATTTAACAACGAAACTGACTTGACTCATCGTCATTCTGTTCCAATATAATAATAATAGGATAGCAATAACTGCAACAATAATAATGGCTTGATTACATATCCACAGCTAGGTACTACTTATCTATTATTTGGAATTGCGAACTGACTAATCCTCTGATAGATATTTTTGTACTTTTATATAATTTATAATAAATTTTTTTAGATCATTTGAATATATTAGGGTAAATATGACTTTTTTACACCTTTTTATAAAGCTATTTTGCCACCAAATGAATGTAGACACTTGACAGATTATTTTTTTCATCATAAAAAGCATAAAAAATTAAAGTCTGCACAGATTTTTTATACATAATAATCCTAGATTATTTCACTTTATAAGTTTATGCATTTTGTTGACTGTCTATATGAAAGTGTCAAAGTCTTTGATAATGTTGATTCATATGAGATGTTTTGTACACAATTTATGGATAAAATAGGTTTACACATTTGGTACAAAATACACATATTTTCACTTTCCAATGAAAACCACACCCATCACAACATGTAGAATTTCTATTAGTGTAAACCATCTCTAAAAAAAAAAAAATGCAACATATTTTCTCATCATGATTTGTGTAGTTGATATGTTAATGTTTGATAATAAAGCAAAAGTTGTAATCCAATTTTTCACCACAATTTTTGTTGACACATAATAGCATTAGCTTCATCCAAAATGGCAACATGTGGATGCATTAAAATTCTTCTTTGGCCTCATTGCTTACTTTAGCCCAATTATTTGACAAAGCTACTGATGCCTCCTCCAATAGTGCAATTAATGCCAACCAGGAAGAGATCTTACATTGATTTTCACAGTTTTTGCATGCCACTATATACACTATATATATATGCATGATCAGTGATCAAGAATTTGTGCTCTCAATCATATGTGGATGGCATCAATGTCTGTACAATAAAATTATAATACGATGAAGCATTTTGAAATCTACAGTTGAAGTGTATTTTATATTTCTGTTCAATTTAAGTATAGGTGCATTATATAACGAACTTGAATTCCCCACTAGGTATATACATCAGAAAAATATGGAGAAGGTTACATATCTAGATCCAAAGAAGATTTGGTAAAATATCATTTAGGGATTTCCTTTTGATAATAATGTAGTAAAAAAATATATCCAGAGTTAATTACATTTGAAAAAGAAATTATTAATAGAGGATAGAGATTATGATAAAGGGTGAAAAAATGGAATGAGTTCTGATGTATATTTTCTTGCAATTGTAATTAAAGAAAATTATGTCATGTATAAAATAGTATTAAGGAAGCTAGAACTCTAGATGCTGGTAATTAAGCAAAAATTTGGTGAGATATTTTAGATAAAAATTGAGCAATGCGATAGAATTATCTAAATTGACTGTGGTTGAATTGACTCATGTTCAAAGCTATTTGATCCCCCAAGTGCTTGTTGTTTTTGGTTTTCCAACCTTACAGCTTCATCACATAGTTTGAAATCCAGGTGACAAAATATTCAGCATTGTGCAGAGCTGATGTATTAGCATTAGTAATCAAATTTCTATACCATTGGGAATCTGAATAACTTTATTTTGGCTATTGACAAAATAAATTCTTGAAATATCCTCGCAATTTTCATTTTTAATGTCATTATTAAGAATAATAACACTTATGTTATCATTCTTGTATGAAAAATTTCCTTTATACATTCTGCTGATGAGATCTATTGTTGTTATCATTTTATGTAACAAAAATAAACTTCCGTGCTTTAAAAAGCATATTCTCATTTTTTTATTTTATTATTATGACATACCTTAAATTTACAATAAGTTTTGAGTGAGTTTGGCAGATCAATTAATATTAAAGGATTTATTTTTTTTGGTATATAATAAAAAAATTGTTCTGATCTCAATTACATGAGTGTATAATCAGGCTATCACAAATAATGTAATTGAGGGGTTATGTTAATTATTTCGATTTCAATGTAAATCAACTTAAATTTTAATTTAGCTTTGTAAATTAATAATTAAAATTCATGCATCACTATAAAGATGTGAACTTCTTGAGCAGAAATGCATTGCTGTTAATATCAAACCAGAGTTAAAACTCGCTGGAATTTGACCAAATTAATGTTGGGCAGAGATCTGGAATTGCAAAAGGTTGTATTCTTATTTATAAAAAATTAATTTATAAATTCTTTAAATATAGGCACTTCATAATATTGCATCATCACAAAGAGAACTTAAAACTTATGTACTCTTAATTAATGAGTGGATTAACATAAGGAGATTCTTAAATTCATGCAGGTTGGTAAATAACTAAATAAATATTTTTTTTGAAGTAATAATATATTATAAAATTGATTTATCTTATTTGTACCATTTCAAGGAAGCTACAGATTACATATCAGGACATTTGTATCCCACATTTGCATTCGGCATTCCAGTATTTAATTTTTGTTGGATAAAATAGAAGGTGTGATTGACAATTCAAACAAATCTAAAAAAATGCAAAAGAAGCAAGCTGCAGGAAAATCCAAAGAATATTATCCAACAACTGATGATCAAATTTATATAATTGCCACTATAGTCAAACCTTGTCATGATGGATGAATGAGACACATAAGAAAATTTTATTTAAAATTCATTGTGGCAAGATTGCTAATCTTGCCACAACACAAGTCATTCACTACCTTACTTCAATGAAATGAACAATCCAAATTCCAAATAAAACTTCAAAATAATCAGCTGCAAAGGCAAAGAAACCAATTTCCAAGAAAAATATGATAGAATGATCTAATGAAGTCATTATATGGGAAGAAGAAATAGACACAAAGTATAAAAAAGAACCATATAAAAAGGGAAAAGAACACTAACAATAATGATTACATAGATAGATGGGGTTCTTGGGACATTAGGTCTTGACCAATACTATAAATATAGGTAATTTAACTTCATAGTAAATCATTAAACCTTACTTGAACAAAAAAAAATATAATCCCAAAAAGTTGATTAACTGTGTAAAATTACCAACTTTAAAAATGCTTCACTATATCAATTGTAAAATAATCATGTGGTGGATAAATGAAATGGATGTTTCTCTGATGATGAAACTTCAAAACAGACAGGAAACCATAGGGAATGATGAGAGAATACAAGAGATAAAGAATGTTCAATAGAGGATTTGCACAAAATTTCAAGACATTGACAAAGAAGAAGATGCATTAAAAAATTTACTATAGTTCTACTCAATGTTATAAATGAAGCAATGGAAGAATTAAAAGAGCATGCCTTTCTTCAACAATTAGTAACTAGTAATATATATGTGGGCGTTTTAGGACATTTTAGGTGTAAAAAAAAAACGTTCTGATTTCTATAGATTTCAGTCTTTTTACTATGTTTCTGATAACTTATATAAATCTATATGCAGTGTGTTTTTTTTTATATATGACACCTTGTAGTGTATTTTTTGATATCTATTTTGATTACTATTTAGCTTTCTGACGCGGAGGAGCATAGCAACTCCATATGCGGAGCGAAGCGGAGCAAGTTATCTGTTTAGTTCACAATTAGCTTTCTAACACTAAGGAGCATACACTTAAGGTGTGTGCAACGCAGTTGCGGAGCATAGTTATCTTATTTGATTGCTAATTAGCATTCTATCACTGTGAGCATAAACCTTTAGGGGGAATGCGAATGGTGTATTTTTTGATATCCTATTTGATCACTATTTAGTTTTCTGTTATTGTGAGCACATCCTCTCATTTTTGATGAAAAAAACTCGATTGCGACGTCAAAATCAATGATGATATGACACCTTGTAGTGTATTTTTTATTAAACTATTTTTGATTACTATTTAGCTTTCTGACCCAGAGGAGCATAGCGGAGCATAGTTATCTTATTTGATTACTAAAACATTTTCTGTCCTGGAGGCGCATAGCGACTCTGAATGCGAAGCGTAGCGGAGCATTAGTTATCTATTTAGTCAACAATTGGTTTCTTAACACTAAGGAGTATACACCTAAGGTGTGAGCGACGCAGTAGCGGAGCGTAGTAATCTTTTAGTTATCAATTAGGTTTCTATGGTAAAAAAGATAGTTAAATTTTATTGTCTTGCAGGCCCGAAGGGCGACTCGAAGAGTCATGGGTGGTCTTCAAGCATCTGAAGTTGTCGAGCATAAAATTGCATGACATAATATCCTTTAGAATGTTTTTTGCAACGTCCACAAGCAGAAGCTGTAGGTTTTCCACAATCACCACATAAAACACGTTTTTTAGATCTCCAATGTTCATGGCACCCTTCAGGACGTCGACACCCACGTCCACAGACTTCTCCAGAATTGTGAATATATTCGCATGTATATTTACCCCCTGACTTTTTGATATATTTACCTCCCTCGATATATTCAATAAACATTTCAATAAATGAATAATTATTTTTTATTTAAACAAAAGATCTGGTATATTAATAAAAAACACCAAAAAAAATATTACAATGGCTAAGATACTTAAATGTCCAGGTTGTGATCGAGAAATAAGAACTGGTAAAACTCGAGATCTTAATAAACACATGAATTTAAATGGAAACCTTCGTAAAGGACAATGCCAACCAGCTTTGCTTATAATGCAAAATGTAGGAAACGTTACCCCAGAGCAAAATACACCTCAAACTGAAAACGTTACTCCAGAGCAAAATCCGCCATCAACTCCTGAAGGTGATCTCATATCGTTCGATGAAAACCCACCAACACTTCAGCCGAGAGAGGCAAGTGCGCCGGCAGTCGACCCCCGGATAAGAGAATCAGAAATGAGTCAAAGACTCGAAGCTCAACATCCTCGATACTCTGCATCATCTAGTTCAAAGCAAAATAGAGTGAGTTACCAAGATAAAACCATCTTAATTCATAAAAATATAGCAAATGGATTTGAGTTTTATGATGGGAAAAGAAAATGGTATGGAGTTAAAGAAGATTTTTGTGCATTACATAACAAATACCATTTTATTAAAGCAAATAATGGAGAAACAATTATGGAAGCATACAAAAGAATTAATGATGAGTCTGAAGCTATTGCTAAAAAAAACCAATGGTAGAATTGATATGTGTAAATCTGGAAATTATACATTAACAACTATAAAATTTTTCAAAGAAACCACTTTAGCACCCAAAAAAAGTGAAAAAATAAGTGAACAAGAAAGTGCATGGATAGATTTAGCAACAACTGGTGCTCTAATATTTGCAGAAAGATATGAAGGAGAAGCTAATCAATACGATGTAAATTCAATGTATATATTTGAAATGATAAAAAAAGATGCATCATGGCCAATTGCACCAGGTAAGTTTCATACTATAAACTCATCTTTTACAGAAAAATGGAGTAAATTTCCATATGGAATTTATAAAGCAACAATAGAAGGAAATCCTCCAAAGAAAAGTCTTCAATGTACAAGATATTTACGTTATAATCCACATGGAATTTACACACATTATGATTTAGAATGTGCGCGAAAAAATGGATTGAAAGTAACATTAATGAATATATCACCAAATGCGCTTATTTACGAAAGAAATGTACGTATAACAGGAAAAGACATGTTTGGTGAATGGGGTAATATATTATACAAAATTAAAAAAGAAGGTGGAATAGAAGGAAAAGTTAGTAAAGCATTATTAGTTTCATTATGGGGTGCATTATGTGAGCAAAGAAATGGACAAAATTATGGTTTACATCCACGAATAAAACCATTCTTATTAGCATCTGCACGAAAAAGAATATCAGAAATTGTGAAGCCACTAGGAGATCAAGTAAAACGTATACATACAGATGGCTTTATTATAGCTGGAAAAGTAGAACTTAAAACGGGAATAGAAATGGGTGAGCTAAAATTTGAGAAAAATGGAGTTTGTGTAGTAAAAAATTGTATATCAATTACATGGAAACCGTCATATCCAGAAATTCCAAATTTGATTATTTTCAAAGAAAATGAGCTTCGCTCTACAAATAGTTTACCAGATTTTGAGAAAATACAACAAGATAAAAAGCAGAATACAATATTAGATACAGAGTATCCTGCTTCACAGACAGTAAAAAGGAAACTATCAAAAAAGTCTGATATAAATCTTCCGAATGAAATTATAATAGAAATATTTCAACATTTACGAACACAAAATAAAAGATTATGTGGTAATAATGAATTATTGTTTCCGGTTTTATATGTTAACAAACGATGGAATGAATGCGCAACATATTTAATATGGAGAAGGATTAAATTATATAGATATAATATTAGAAATTTTGTCGAAATAATAAAAAAGAAACCATTACCGAATGCAATAAAATATATAAAACAGATAGAATTCGAAAGAATAGATAATTATTTTAATATGAATGAATTTCTATTAGAAGACATTGCAAGTATATGCCAATATATAATAACTATATCATTTAAGGATTGTGGTTGGGGATTTCTTAACAATAGTTCACTAAAGATAACATTGGATACGTGCAAGAATCTAAACCATATATTTATCTATGGAAGTAATCGAATAGCGCCAAAAACTGTCTTAAGTATACCAGAAAAATGTACAAGTATAAAAACTATAAAAATACAAAATTGTGAACGAATAACAGATAAAATAGTAAATCAATTATTGAGCAAATATCCGAAAATTGAAATTAATAAAATAGAAGTTGACTCACGAAATGAGGA